GTTGAGGGCAGATGAAAGTGGGCTTTGGAGCAGAGAGGAGCAGGCTGTGTACAGCTCTGGGCCTCATCCAAGCAGAGTTCTCAAAGGGCCCTCTTCTTTCCCAGAGAGCCCCCAGGAGCTGAATTTCTGACCATGCTAAGGCCAGGTGCAGAGGGAACTTCCTGGCCTAGCATACAGTGGTGAGAAGGCAGGCTTCTCAGGGTCTGTACTCACATTGTGAAATCAAAATGGGGTAAGGGAGGTGGCACTAGATGAAGACCCAGCCACAGCGGCAGCTTCTAGCAGCCACCTGCCTGGTTGAGATGGAAACGCTGATTTCAGCTCCAGCCCCCAGACAGGCTAAGAATATCTCAGCCAAGCAACAGCCACCACCCCCACCCTTCTAGATCTGCTCCTGCATCTGTAGTGCTATCCTGGGCACCGATGAGGAGACAAGTGGGGGTGATGCTTGGGGTGTGGGGTGAAAGGGAGGAGACCAGAAAGGAAGCCTGGTAGATGTGGGAGAAAGTAAACTGAGAAACAGTGCTGGGAGGGTTCGGAGGGTTGGTCAGGGAGGGTTGTTCTCAGATGGGCAGTAAAGCAGGGTGAAAGCAGGAGCCGGGAAGCTCAGAGATGAGGGTGGGAGAGGGCTGACATCAGGGAAGGAAGCAGCACTCAAGTTAGAGGGAAAGGAGCCCCCCAGTCACCTCTATCTTTTCTTTCCCTTCATCTTGGGCCCTTCACCATCTTAAAATCAGTCCTTTCTCTCCACCCCAGGGCATCACTTTTCAACCCTCTGGAATCTATGCTCCCAACCCTCTTTTCCACCCTAAAAAACTTGCATTTGAGCTCCTTAATTAAATCCTTCTAGCAAGGAGCCTGCAGTTGGCAAAGAGGTGAGAATGGAGGTGTCTCCATCCTACAGCTAGTGGCACCTCCTTTGTTGGTTTCATCTCAATTCTTTGCTCATCTCCTCAACCCCTACTCTCCTCTGTTACCTGGGGAGATGTTCTGCTCCCCTCCACTATCTCTCCACCCCAACTTCTCCGAGTAAGGGAGAGGGTTGGGGCTAGTGCATACCTTTCCCCCTTTACACATCTCAGGACTGAGAGCTGGGGTAGGGGTAAGAGATTCCTGAAGGATCTTTGGTGAGGAGCAGAATCCAGACATCCAGATGCACAAGCTGGGTCTCCCTCCTGGCTGTGTTAAGAACCTGTGTTGCCACTGTCCTCTTCATAGGCGCCCCTTGTACACATAGGGGAGCAATCCCTTAGGGTCTGGGTTCTCTGGACTATATGCTTCCTGCACTTTGGTCTTCTTGGCCTCTTCTGCGCCTCTCTGCCTTTGGGAGGGGCCATCTAAAGCTTAGGGGGACCTAGGAAGAGTTACATTCTAGGAGCCCATGCTCCCCTCTCTTTTGACTCCCAGGCTGAACTGCAGAAGTACAGGCTTCACTCGGACACTGTGCATACAGAGGCTGAGCCGGCAGACAGAAACAGATTAGGGAGAACCAGACACGGCTAGAGCTAGAGTGAAACAGATTTGTAGGCTAGGTTTGATTTAGAATCAAAACAGCAGAATTGAAGCGATTTTAGAAATGCTCTTTGAGCACAGTTTCTAAAACACTATTTTATTCCTTTAATAGTCACTTTTATCTGATAATAAAAATAAACTGCAGAATCTCACAAATGGAAAAACAGAGACTCTGAAAGCTGAAATGACTTCTCCAATCTCACACATCTACCTGACCACAGACTAGAACTTCTGATTACTGCCTCCTAAACTATTGTCCCTCACAGAGGAAGTAGGAACCACCAAAGGGAGGAAAGAATCTGTGCTGCATTGTGGGAGAATTCCCTTCAAGATGGGCCTCACCTACACAAGTAGGTGAGTGAGGGCTTTTCTCAGGTGAAACTGGTGTTGATCCTCATCACTAAGACCACAGTCCTGCAGGGGCTAAGACCACGGGGCCCTGTAGTTCTTGGTCTGGGCCTGCAGTTTTGCCTTAAAACGCCTTTGGGAATGACACATTGCGAGTTGTTTTGTTTTGTTTTAAGACAGGGTATTGCTATGCAGTTGAAGTTGGCCTTGCACTCACTCTGTAGCCCAGGCTGGCCTTGAACTCCCTGCCATCCTCCTCCCTCAGCCTCTCAAGTATTGGGAGGTGTGCGCCACCCCGCCTGGCAATGACATGTTATTTGGACAGACTGCCATTGTATGTAAACTACAGAATGATGGAGACATACAGGTATCCTAACTTCAGGGGATTTCCTATCTGACACAGCCCACACTGTGCAGAGGAGTGTGTTGGAAATGGCCAGAAGAGAAGCACAGTCTAGATATGAATATATATAAATGAATCGCAGAGTAGAGACCCTAAACATAACCCAGCCAGAAGAGCACACTTGCAGATGTGGCACTGGAGCCACTGCTGCTTGGTAAAACCCACCCACTCCATGGAGTCTTCTTGGTTTACTACTTTTATTCCTTTCAGCTTTCACCCTGCAGATATATAATCCCTTTCCCTTTCATCCCTCAATTTTTATGGATCTGTTTTAATTAGTTTTTTTTTGTCCTTTAAAATTCATCCTGCACATCTTGGGCTACCTCTTAACTGAGGGGCCTGTGTACCCTTTAATAAAGTTGTTGGGCACCCCAGAAAGGCTTCCTGGAGGAAGCAAGATTTCAAGAATTCCACAGGGATAGAGTGGTGATCTGAAGGAGAGTCCTAGCCTGTTCTGGCACAGAGGTTTAAGAATGACAACCAGAGCAGGATTGAGATGGGCAAGTGAACCAGAAAGAGGCTCTGAGGCAGGGCAAGGTGAAGAGCAAAAAGAGGAGAATGAGACCTTCTGATGAGACCTGATTTGGGGACATTGAAGCAGAGGAAGAAATTCTTGATTCTGACCATGAGGACAACGGCAGGTCATAGCCAGGCCTGGGGTAGGGGTAGCACAGCAGTGATACCTGTGTGATTTTTTACTAAATGACACCAGCACTAGGCCTGAGGTTAGTAAAAGACTCTTGAGAGCAGAGCTGGGAGGATCCACGTGCCCGGTGTTTCTGCCAGCAACTCAGTCTCTGTGGGGCCTGTCCTTAACTACCAGTGGAGCCAACCATTCCTTTGGTGTCAAATAAAGTCTCACTCAGAAGGCGTTGTAGGAGGAATCTGAACCGATTACAGGGGCTGGGAAGAAGAAACATTTTCCTGCAACGGTGTGTGTGTCGGGGGGGTGGGTGGGTAGTGGATAAGAGGTTCAGCAAGTCAGCTTGAACTGCAAGAAAATGAAGATCGGACGCAGGGAAGCTGGAGAGATCCTACTATGAACTCCCAGGGAAAAGAATCAAGTCTGTGTGGGACTCTGGCCATAGTAAAGGACTCAAGATGACCAGGCCATGTGCCTTTAGGAAGGCATGAGTGAGCCGGGACTGTGAGGTTGCTGAGAAAAACTACAGCCTCTGCTGACTAGAGCTGTGGCCTGAGGGGACCCTGCAATGCATGCACCCCTTCGCCTTGACAGGATTGGTGGAGCCTCGGAGCTGTGTTGGGTCTATGAGAAACAGGGAGGCCAATCCAGAGACATCTAAACATTTTACTGAATTCACAGGCAGAGCCTCCTCTCCCCATTAAACCCAAACTCCTGCCCAAAGTCTACTTAAGAAACTTCAATATACATGAAAGTATGGACAGCTATTTTGAAGAGGCAGCCATTAGTGACTTCCCTATTATCTGGTTTTGAAGACCTAAATCGCCTTCCTCATTCTGTTCAGATCAGTTTTATACTATGTTGTTTTGTATGAGTTCTCTGTATGTGAAGACATGGGCAACTATTTGGAAGAAAACAAGAGACAATACGATAGACAGTGAAGATCTCAAAAAAAGAAAAGAAAAGAAATAAAGACGCCTGTGATGGACAGTCACAGAGCAGGAAGGACATTGTCTGTAAGGCATACGGAACAGGCCCAGAACTAGAATCCAAAAGCTGGGATAGAAGCCCTGAGGGCACTGAGGAGGGAATAAATAGACCCAGAAAGTCACAGGGAGGATACAGGCCCAAAGGTCGGCACTGGAGCTGAGGACAGTGGGACCTGAGTAGCAGGAAACATTTCATAACGAAAACTCACCTCAGCCTGGACCAAGAACTGGGTCAACTTCATGGGTCTTTTTCCACACAGAAGACCCCAACCACTGTCCAAGCCCAGAAATAATCACTGATCCAGTTTCCAGTTTCCAGTATTTTCCTAAGAACCATCAGTCCATCACCCACCTGTGTGTTGGTGTCAGTGCGTTGCTGGGGGGCAACAAACCAAGAAGGGCTGCCCAGGGAGCAGATTGCAACTCAGTATCACATGGGGACACATCCTAGAGTCTTACTCCCTCCTGCCCCTCTTGCCTAAGCAAAGACCCCCAAGGAAGCAGGTTCTGACTTGCAGGAAGTCTTAGCTTCCACCTTCCTCCATCAACGCGAAGAGTAAGAATGTGCCTGCTGCTCCCTCCCTAGTGGCCTGGGGGTGCGGGTGGGGGTGGGGCGCGACCAGAAAACCCACCATGCGGTCAGATTGGAGGAGCCAGTGCAGCGCGACCCAGCTAAGGCCGGGCTGAAGGCACCTGCTGCCAGGCAGCAGCCCCTGTACACACTCCCCGCCAAGATGGGGCGAAGGAAAGGAAGCCCGTTCCCATGGCTTTTCTGCCTCGGCGACCTAGTACATCAAAGCAACCTGACCCACGGCCCTAGGACCTGGAGCAGATGAGAGCAGCCTTCTTCGTCTTCTCCCCGGCTCTGACCCTGAGAGACCCTCTAACGACAGCCACTTCCTCCCCCTTTCCCATTTTCCCCTTCGGGTGAGGGAAAGAACCTAGGACAGAGGGTGGGATATAAGGCGGGACTGGAGCATGGCATGAGAGATTCTATTGGTCAAAGGAGCTGCCGGTCAGAGGAGCAGCCCGGGCGAGGATTGGCTGTATGAGGCGGGGCGCGGCGCGGCGAAAGCAGGGGCCCAAGGGGTGGGGCCGACGCTGCAGCTGGCGCAGCTCAGACCCGGAGCCGCCAGCAGCTCCTTCCCCTGTTGGTGCACGCGCGGGGGTCGGGGCTAGGCCCCCCACGCCGGGTCCCCCGGGGCTGCAGCAGCAGCGGCGCCGCCCAGGGTGCCCGCCGGGGCCCGGGCGCCGGTCCCGCTCTGCAGGATGGGCACGGTGCTGTCGCTGTCCCCCGCCGCCTCGGCCAAGGGCCGGAGGCCCGGCGGGCTGCCGGAGGAGAAGAAGAAGGCGCCGCCCGCGGGGGACGAGGCGCTGGGGGGCTACGGGGCGCAGCCGGCGGGCAAGAGCGGCAAGGGCGAGAGCCGGCTCAAGCGGCCGTCAGTGCTCATCTCGGCGCTCACCTGGAAGCGCCTGGTGGCAGCATCCGCCAAGAAGAAGAAAGGCAGCAAGAAGGTGACGCCCAAGCCGGCGAGCGCCGGCCCCGACCCGCTGGTCCAGCAGCGCAACCGCGAGAACCTTCTCCGCAAGGGCCGGGACCCCCCGGACGGCGGCGGCGGCGGCGCGACCAAGCCCCTGGCTGTGCCGGTGCCCACCGTGCCCGCGGCCGCCGCCGCCGCCTGCGAGCCCCCGGCCGGGGGCAGCGCGGCCGCCCCGCCGCCCGGCCCCGGAGGGGGGAAGCCGCCGCCGCCGCCGCCCCCCGCCCCGCAGGCGGCGCCGCCCGTGCCCGGGGGCTCCCCGCGCCGGGTCATCGTGCAGGCGTCCACCGGCGAGCTGCTGCGCTGCCTGGGCGACTTCGTGTGCCGGCGCTGCTACCGCCTCAAGGAGCTGAGCCCCGGCGAGCTGGTGGGCTGGTTCCGCGGCGTGGACCGCTCGCTGCTGCTGCAGGGCTGGCAGGACCAGGCCTTCATCACGCCCGCCAACCTGGTGTTCGTGTACCTGCTGTGCCGCGAGTCGCTGCGCGGGGACGAGCTGGCGTCGGCGGCCGAGCTGCAGGCCGCCTTCCTCACCTGCCTCTACCTCGCTTACTCCTACATGGGCAACGAGATCTCCTACCCGCTCAAGCCCTTCCTCGTGGAGCCCGACAAGGAGCGCTTCTGGCAGCGCTGCCTGCGCCTCATCCAGCGGCTCAGCCCGCAGATGCTGCGGCTCAACGCCGACCCCCACTTCTTCACGCAAGTCTTTCAAGACCTCAAGAACGAGGGCGAGGCCGCTGCCGCCGGCGCCGGGGGTCCCCCCAGTGGGGGCGCGCCCGCCGCCGCCCCCTCGGCCGCCAGGGACAGCTGCGCGGCCGGAGCCAAGCACTGGACCATGAACCTGGACCGCTAGGGAACGCGGAGGCCGCGCTCGCCCGCTGCCCCAGCCCCCGACGCACGCTGGGAAGCTCCCGGGACCGCGGAGCCGCCGCCTCGAGCGCGGGCCGGGCCGGGGAGAAGCGGCGGGAGGTGGAGGCCCGCACGTCGGGGGAGGCCGTAGTGTTCGGATTTGCAGGGCGTGGAGCGGGAGTGGGGGGCGGGAAGGGCACCCCCAGCTTCACCCTTTCCGTCCGCCCATGCGCCCCTTTCTCCGTTCCTGCCTGGGTCTCCCCTGCCCCGCTGTGCGCGTCTGTGCGTCCTTCCGCGGGCTTGTCCATCTCCTCGCCCACTCTCTGCGTCTTCATCTTTCTTGCCGTCTGCATCCCTCCCCCTGCCTTTCCGCGTACCTCGCCGTACCCACTTCTCCTCCTGCACCTGTGTCCCTATCTTCCCTTTCATTCTCGCCTCCCTGCCACCTGGTGTCACCGACCTCCTCCTGTCTGCCCTCTCTCTCTGCCAGTGTCAGCCTGTATTTCTTCCCTAGACCGAGTCCCCGTGTGCCTCTCTCCGGATCAATGGGACTGTCAGTTTTTAATTCGGATCGACTGAAGTGCAACTAGCAACTGCAGTCCCAGGGGCCCAGACAAGCACCGGGGTGGTCCCTCGACCCACCCCACTGCCTCTCCTACCTTTTCTAACGTGTTGCATGCCGGGAGTTGGGGAGGGAAGGGGCTGCCGGCTTCATTCTGGAGGCTACGATTTTGGGGGGCAGAATCAATCTGGGAGACCACACTGGCGGCGGCAGCGGCAGCGCTTCAGTGGACGGGTGGGAAGAGAAAGAAAACTCTTTTTATTCTAGGGGAGGGGCGCCTCTCTTCCTTATCCTTAAGTTCTTGTTATTCCCTCACCCCTTTTAATTTATTTCGCTGTTTCCTGAGGGAGGGGGGAGGGCGGGGGTTGGATCGGGAACTGTCCGAGGTGCTGAGCTGGAGCGGGACTGGAATCCTCCCGGGGGAGTACCAGGGACTGAGTTGGGCCCGGGGCTGTGTCCAAGGTGCCAATGATGCGGGCCGACGGCGCGGGCCGCACTGTCTGTCTGTCTGTCTGTCCCGGAGAACTATAAAGCGCTGGAAGCGCCTGCAGATGGCTTTGCGCCGGCCTTTCTTTGGGCCCCGGGGAGGGTGGGAAAGGGAGATGGTATGAAACTGCCACCCATAGGACAGCAGGGCCAGAGACAGGGGCCTAAATGAGGATGGTCAGGTCCCTGACGGCAGCTACACTTTCCTGCTACCCCTTTCCCAATTGGCTTCCATTTTACAGAGTGAAATGAGGTAACCAAGGGTGAGATTGAATATCCCTCACTCTAGCCTCCATCTTGTCTGAACTAGCTGTTCATTAATGCCCAGCCTGCTTAGGAATGGGGTGAGGACAGTGGAAGTCACTTCCCTTCCAAGAGGTGACCTGCTGAGGGAGAATTACCTGGCCTGTTATTCCCTTCCACCAGCGAGGCCAAAGTCTGTGTTCACCTCCCTCAGGCGGAACCTGACTGCCACTCTCAGCCCCACCATGTGCCCAACTGTCACCACTACTGGGCCCCTGGAGGCTGCCTAAATCACACTCACCTAGGTTAGTCCTGGGAGCCCCTTCCCTGCTCAAGACTCAGCTTGGCCCTTCAAGACCCGAGAGGCCCAGACAGGCAGACATGAAAGGGGAGGTGGGAAACCATGCTTTGAGGCTGAAAGAGGAGACCCTTGCTCAGTCCCCATTGCTCTCGTAGCCGCAGAGCCAAGCGCCCCGTTCACTGCCCCTGGTGGCCTTGCTTCAGCAGAGCGCTCGCGGGTTCCATGCTGGTTGCCACCGTAGCTAGGAGGATCCAGAGAGAAACAGGAGGGTCAGGCAAAAACCTCGCCCCAGGCTCGCTGTCCGTGGTACTGACGATACTGCGTGTTTCCGCAGGGCGGGGGATTGAAAGGGCCGGAACAGTTGGGGACACGGCCTCGACAAGGTCTCCTGATAATCTCGGGGTACAGTGTGAGCTATTTTGGCTGCGAGTTACAGAAGTTTGGCCCAAGAACCTAGGAACCTGGCTTCCCACATGCCCTCTGGGAGGCAAGACTCAGATCTCACTCGACCTGGGCCCAGGGCCTTGGCACCGGGTCGTGGAGCCGGAAATCCTCAGGCCAGATTTGTGAATCGAGTTCCCGAGGGGGAGGGGGCGAGCGGGCGTGAGGGAAGGCGGGAGCAGTCGCCCATTGGCTGGAATTTGGCGCAGTCAGCGCGGTGCCGTCATCTCTCTGGGTTTGGGAGGAGGAGGGAGTATCACTTGGGTCACTCCGCGGCTGTCGCCATAGTAACCAGACGGAGCGGGCGGGGCCGCTCCTCCGCCCTCCTCCCTCCCACCCCCACCCGCCACCCCCTTCTGGGGAAACAATACTGGTTGCTTTATTTGGGACTAGTTAGCGAGATTAGCTACTTGATTCAAGTTTCTGAGTTAGACAAGACTAACGGGAGGGAGTGCAAAGAGACCGGAGAGGACCCAGAACACCTAGATCCTGCCGCCAAAGCCTAAGATAGAGCACCTTCCCGTTTCTACACACTCCAGCGCGGGCCTCTGGGAATCTGTGGTCTGACACTGGAGACTTAAAATCGGGGGAATATAAGCCTCTGGGTGGTGTCGAGTTAAATCCCACTTTTCTTGCTAGGCCCCAAAGCATGAGGCACTGCTATAATCCGATTAGGGAGGCAAGGACTGGAGGACGGTCAGTGAGCACACATGGAGGAATAAGCCTCCCAGGTCACAGGCGGTCAGCCGAGGCCGAAGGAGAAGAGGAAGTGCAGAAGCAGAGTGAGGTGCCTTCCCTTTACTGCCTGGGAGTGGCCCCGGGGAAGTGGTGAAATAGGCCCAGCGCTCTAGAGGGAGCCTGGCAGGCCAAAGGGAAGACTGAGGAAGGCATGGAGATGAAGGATAGGAGACAGAAACCCAGCTTGGCCGTGACTCAGCACTTCCTCTGCCAAAGGGTTGGGGCCATTGCTCCAGTACGGGGTGGGGGTGGGGGATGGACGCGGAAAGGCGCGGGAAAACAAATGGGTGAGTAGCCAGTGACCCACCCCTTCACATGACACATGGAATACAGGCACCGATCTATAACCTTACATGATGCAGGTTCATTCGATCATAAAATATACACATCTTCATCCTGCCCTTTCCTGGCCTTCCTGGAGCAGAGGACATTCTGTCCTGAGAGCTGTGCTCCCCTGTCCCTAGAATACCTTGGTACTGATTGGAAAAAGAAAAATGCAAAAAATCTACAGACATGGTAGGGAGAGTGTTGTTATGGTAACTGCTTTGCCTGCTAGGCGGGAGTTCAAAGCAACCAGAGCATCTGGCAATATACAGGAGGACAACCTATGGCCTCTGACGCCTGGGACACTGCATTAAGCACCCAGTGGGCACCTGTGGATGATTTCTACAACTGCGCCTGCAAAAATAACCTCTCCAGGGAGGCTGCTGTGACCAAGAACAGCAGGAAGCCAGGAATAATGGATCTGACTTTCTTTCTGTGCTTTCCCGTGACCTTGTACGTGGTATTCTGATCCCCTTATAAAACAGGGCCAACATTTGCTGTAAATGGCCTCAAGATAGCAGGGATGAAACTTGAAGACCTTTAAGACCATGACCTTCCCTTCAGCTCCTTGCTATATAGTCTACAAAGAAAGTTATTTACAGCCCCACAGGAAAGGTGTCTAGATGACAAGTAGAAAACTGTTTAGATCAATGTTAGAAAAGATTGGGTACTGAAAGAGTTTTACCCCAGAATAAATTACAGGACATTATGACAGTGGTTTAACATGGCTGAAGGCCAAATCTGGCCAAATCCTCCTTCTTCCCCTTCAATGGATTACAACTTCCTCCTTCCTTTCCCATGTGCTCCAAGAAAATTCCAATCAACTCCTCACGCATCATAAATGCCCACCCCAAGAGCCACACCTGGTCAAAGGCCCCATATACCCCCAGCCACACCCGTATCTAGTGAAAGGATCTAGCCCAACCATTATGGGTTGTGTGCTCCTTTCCACATCCTGCTTAACACGTTTGTTTCTTTTTTTATTTTTTGTTTCTCTATTGCACCAAGAAAACTCTAACAGGTACACGGTAGATAAACTGCAATGCAACAATCTCAGGACTCAAATTACTTAAATTTCTTCTACTTAAGCCCATAACTCTTTTTGTTTTGTTTGTTTGTTTGAGACAGTCTTGTTATGTAGCTTAAATTGGCCTCGAACTCACTATGTGACCCAGGGTGAATATCTTCCTGAATCTCAGCCTTCTAAGTACTAGGATTACAAGTGTGTGCCACCATGGCTGGCTATAATGTATATATTTTTAGGTGGATACTAGAGATTGAACACAAGACTTTTTTTTTTTTTAGGAGCATGTGCATCACCACTGAGCTGCATCTAGACCATCTGAGTGTTTTTATTTGGTAAGGTAAAAGCAAGGAGGCATGACAATGAACAATATACACATGGAAATTAAAATTGCATTACAAATTTTCTACATGCTACCATTAAAACAATCATGCAGCAGCTCAATGGTGTGCACTTCTATTCCTGGCTACTTGGGAGGCTGCTACACCTGGGCCTACAAGTTCAAGAGTAGCAGCATAGTGAGACTCCATCTCAAAAATGAGCAGGGAAAAACCTTATGTATTATCCTAGGAAAAAAAATGCAGAATGCCATAAAAAGCCTAAGAAAAAAGAGTCAGTGATAGAGAGCCTGCTCTCTCAGACATTAAAATACATCAGGGGCTAAGGTAGCTAAAATATGTGCCACTGATACAGGAATAGATATATTAGTAAAATAGAACAGATAACCCAAAGCTCAACTCTGGCGTACATGGGAATTTAATATGGGACAAAAGCACCATTTGAAATTAATTGGGAAAAGACAGTAAATGATTTTAATACAACTGGGTAATGTTTTGCATAAAGAAAAAAGATCAATCTCTTTGCATTCTTTACCTTAAAATAAATTCACAGATCAAAGATTTAAATAAAAAAGTAAATGGTTATGAAAGCCTTAGAATAGAAGACAGTATGGAAATATCTATTAGCATTTCACATGCACATACATTTCTACTCAGGAAGCCCAACAGGAAGTATCAGTGCTGGTGTCAA